CCTCCTCCAAAGCCTCCTCCCTTGTAGTCCTATCCACCCTCCTCCTCCTCCTCCAAACCCTCCTCCCTTGTAGTCCTCTACCCTCCTCCTCCTCTCCACACACCCCTCCCTTCTAATTCTCTGTACCTTCCTTCTCCTCTACACAAACCTTCCCTCCCTTCTAGCACTGATGATGCTCCCTAGTTGGGTCATGAAACACCTGCAAGAAAACCACCCAGCTCAAGAGTGGACCAAGGACTCTACAGTCCGTCTTCTTCCTCCTCCTCCTCCTCCTCCACTCCGCAAATGCCACTCTCTTTGAGCACTGATGATGCCACCTAGCTGGATCATGAAAAGTCTGAAAGAAAATCACCAAGCCCAGAGAAGAGCATGGACCCCAAATTAAGTAGAATTGTTTTGACTTGCTTCGGGTTGGACCTCCAAGATCCCTTCCAACTGTTATTCTCTTATTCTGTAAGGGTCTCCTGCTTGAGGAGGGGGTTGGACTAGCAGACCTCCAAGGTCCCTTCCAGCTCTATCCTGATTGATTCATTCTTCCCAGAGATGTGTGTTTTTAATATGTACTACCATATAAAAACCAAGTGGAAAAAACAACCAGCACCCGATACTATAATATCCCTGAGGCCGTATTTGCAAACAGGAAGGTACAAAATAATATTGCATAACTGTAAGCAAATTATAAGGTTTATTAGCGTGCCAAGGGGAAAAATTTAAATGTATGCAGATTTTCTTTGCTCTTTTTAAAGTCCTTTAGGGATTTTTTAAAATCACATTTCGGTTATTTTCACCAATAACATCCAGATTACATAGGATAGATAGATGACAGACAGAGATTGAAAGATAGATAAATGGATGGATGGATGGATGGGAGACACTGGTATATATATAGAGAGAGAGATACAGAGAGAGAAAGAGAGAGGGAGGGAGGGAGGGAGGACAGCATAGGGAGGGGCCAGCTGATGGTCGGAACAACCGGTTCGCTACAACCTGTCCAAGCCGAAAGCAGCCATCCATTGGCAACACCATTTTGGACAAATGGTAGAAAGTTTCCAGGGATGAAAGTGCCACAATTTCATGGGAATTAACCAGAATTTCTTAATTTCCTAATTTCCCCCGGAACAGAAACACAAAGATAAAATTTTTCATTGTGATGTACATCTCACACACACACACAAAATTTGAACTCAGCGCCACAAAACATAAACCTACAAAGGCACGAAACGAAATATGGTTCGTTTAGCAACCATTCCAAGCTACCACGTCCCTGAAAAAAGGTGACATATCGCCCCATTTCACAGTTACGACCTTTGCAGCACTCCAAAGTTGGGTGTGGGGCAACCGCTTTGCATTTATGACCGTCACAGCTTCCCGGGGTCCCATGATCCCCTTTAGTGACCAGATTCATTTCACATCCAGATGATGAAATCATTGACGGCAGCGAGTTGCTGATGATGGCAACACGAGTCGTCCAATGGGACCAAGCTCACTTAATGATGGAAATTGGGGGCACCCCCTGTGGTTTTCATATCAAGGGCCTCGGGAGAGACACTTCCTAAAATTCCATTTTTTATTATTCCTACATTGGTAGTCCTCGACTTACAACCGTTTGTTTCATGACGGTTTGAAGTTAGAACGGGAGTGAAAAGAAAGGGGACTTTAGAACCGGTTTTTCACACTGACGACTGTTGCAGCATTGTCACAGCCACGTGGTCAAAATTCACGCGTGCGGCAACCGATTCTTATTTATGACTGTGGCACTGTCTTGGGAGAGGAGTTTTTTTGCTAACTTAACAACCACAGTGGTTCACTGAGCGACGGGGGCGAAAATGGGGGCGAAGCTTGTTTCCCATCTTGTTTCTTGAGAGTTGGGCTACGTCGTGGTTGTAAGTCGAGGACTGTCTCAGTTCCTACTTTTAAGTGAAGTTTACAGACCGTTGGGTAAGAAAGACTGAAGTTTAGAAGGAAGAACACCTGTTTTGTGTTGGGTTTTTGGTTATTTTACCTCAAATAATTTATGGCGACAAAAAAAAAAATCTCCAAATTGTGTTAACCGTTGTCACTGTCCCATGCCACAACTATGTTCTGTTACACAACCGGTTTGCCACAAAGGAAGAGTTGAGACATCCATCGTCTCTCGGTTTGAGGGCACCTATTGGACTGGCTTGACCCAGGTCCTCGAAGAGTGACGTTGACGTGGTCGCTGTAAGGATGAGGAAGCAAGGGGGTGAGCACGTGTCTACTTTTCCTCCTATTTGCCTGACAACCCTGCAAGGTGGGCTGGGTTGAGAGGGAGGAACCGGCTCAAAGTTGCCCAGCTGGCTTTCAGGACTAAGGCGGGACTAGAACTCACTATCACCTGGTGATTGGTGTAAAACCACCCAGCTGGCTTTCGTGGTTAAGAAGGGGACTAGAACTCCCTGTCTCCTGCTGATTGGCTCAAAGTAACCCAGCTGGCTTTCATGATTAAGAAGGGGACTAGAACTCCCCGTCTCCTGCTGATTAGCCCAAAGTTACCCAGATGTCTTTCAGGCCTAAGGCGGGACTAGAACTCCAAGTCTCCTAGTGATTGGGCCAAAGTCACCCAAATGAATTTCATGCCTGAGGCAGGACTAGAATGCACTGTCGCCTGGTGGCTTTCATGCCTAAGGCGGGACTAGAACTCCCAGTCTCCCAGTGATTGGCCCAAAGTCACCCAGCTGCCTTTCATGCCTGAGGCGGGACTAGAACTCCCCGTCCCCTGGTGATTAGCTGAAAGTCACCCAGCCAGCTTTTATACTTAACAGGAGGCTAGAACTCCCTGTCTCCTAATGACTTGGTCAAAATCACCCAGCTGGCTTTTCTACCTAAGGCACCACTAGAACTCACAGCCACCTCTTCCCTAGGAGAAGAGCAGCCAGAATAGGGAACAGCCTCAGAACCTCCCTTCAGCCCAGAACTCCAACTCCCATCATCCCCAACCAGGGCAGGCCAAACCTTGCTAGGCCCTTAAGATTACCCCCCCCCCAGTTTTGGGGAGCCAGAAACCCCCTCCCAAGTCTAAGGGAAGGTCCCCCTGGGACAGAACTACAATTCCCATCTTCCCCCATGGGGGCAGGGCAGGCCTTGCTAGGCCTTTAGGACCACCACTACCAACTACAATTGAGAGGGAGGTTCCCTCTGGGTCAGAACTACAATATCCATCATCCCCCAACAGGCCAAGCCAGGCCTTGTTATCTCCACTTTTAGGGGGAGCAGGAAAGCCCCCCCCCTACCTGCGTCGAGGGGGCTAGAACTAGCCTTCCCATCACCCCCCCACTGGACCAGACCAGGCCTACCTAGGCCTTTGGGACCCAACTTGAGAGTCCCAGAACTACAACTCCCATCATCCCCCAACCAAGGCAAACCAAGCCTCGCTAGGTCTTCAGGACACCTCCCACCCAGAACACCAACTCCCATCATCCCCAACCAGGGCAAACCAGGCCTCGCTAGGCCTTTAGGAGTCCCCAACTCGAGGGGCGCAGAACTCCATCTCCCATCATCCCCAACCAGGGCAAACCAGGCCTCGCTAGGCCTTCGGGACTCCCCAACCCCCCATTTCGGGGGGGGGGGGGGGCCAGAAACCCCCCCAGACCGAGGGGGCGGGTCTCCCTGGGGGTCAAAGGTCAGCCGAGGGGGCCCCTACCTTCCCGTAAGGACGACCCCCCCGCACTCAAGCCCGGCCTTTGTTCCCCAGTGAGGAGAAGGGAGGGGGAGCGCAGCCCCTCCCTTCTCCCGAACAGGCTCCACCCCCTCAGTATCGACTCCGGGAGAGGCCGCTCTCGAGGGGCGGAGGGGGGGGAGCGGCGGCGGCGGCGGCGGCGGGAGGTGGGGGGGGTGGAACGAGTCCCGCTTACCCACCGGAGGCGTCGGGAGAGCGGCGAGGGGCGGGCAGGCGCGCATGCGCGGAGCCGCGGCCTTACCAGGGAGGGCGGGGCGGGGAGGGGAGGAGGCAGTCAACGCGACCGGAGAGGGAGAGAGAGAGAGGGAGAGAGAGGGGGGAGGGAGAGAGGGAGAGAGGGAGGGAGCGAGAGCGCATGCGCGACGAAAGTTTTGTTTTTTTTTTTTTTTTTTCCCCCCCCCTCTTCTTTGGAGCGCGGCCAGCCGAGGAAGCAGCGCCCCCTGCGGCGGGAAAATCAAGGCGCGAGGGCAGGCCGAGGGAAAAGATCGCGCCTGCGCGGGGGAAGCCGGAAGTCGGAAGCCGGCAATCACGTCGGAGTTCCGGAAACAAAACAAAACCGCAGGGAAAATTAAACACTTCCGGTGGCGGGATTGGCGTCACGGGCCTAGTTTCTGCCCTAGAACACCCCTCCCCTTGCCTAGGGTCCCCCCCAAAGACCCCCCCCCGAAGCCCCCTCCCCTTTCTTAAAGGCCCCCCTGAAGCCCCCTCCCCTTGCCCGAAGGTGCCCCCCCTCGCAATGGGGGCTGGAAAGCCCCCCTCGCACCGTCCCCAAGAGATGCTCCTCAGCTTACAGCCATCCATTTTGTGACGGGCCAAAGTCACGAGGGCACTGGAAAAAAGTGGAGCGCGTCTCCCACTTGGGGTGTGTTTGCAGCATCCCTGTGGGCGCATGATCCGAATTCAGAGCGCATCTCTGAACATCTGCCTCGTCTTCATGACGATCAACTAACCTTAGAAGAGCAACTAAGGTGATTAAAGGCTCGGAGGCCAAAACACACGGAGAACCGTCGCAGAATTTGAGTTTGGCCAGTCTGGAGAAAAGAAGGATTAAGGGGGAGGGGCGCGGGGGGGGCATAATAGTAGCCTTCCGGTCTTTGGGGGGCGGGCGGCGCTCAACTTAATTTTCCAAAGCACCAGAAGGCAAGGCAAGAAGCAACAGGTGGAAACTAATCAAATTAAAAGAACCAACTTGGAATTAAGGAGAAACGTCCTAACTCTGGGAACAATTAACCGGTGGAACTGCTTGCCACCATAAATTGTGGTTGTGCCAACGCTGGAGGCTTTTAAGAAGAGACTGGAAGCCAGTTGTCTGGAAACCGTATAAGGCTGTGTGTGATGGCGAGCCTACGGCCCGTGTGACGGGGGCGCACGCAGAGCCACCTCGTCTTTGTGTCTGCATGCCTGCCAGAAACAAGAAGACCAGATGACCAGGGCACACGCGCACACACACACACACACACACACACACACACACACACGTACAGAAACCGGAAGCTCAGCTCAAAGAGTTGCTCTTCCAGGTTCCGGCGCTCCCACACACGCAGGCACTCCCATTTCGGCACTCAGTGTTCAAAAGTTTCACCAACACTGGTATAGGATCTTCCGTTTGAGCAGGGGGGTGGACTAGAAGACCTCCAAGGCTCTATAGGAGCTCTATTCTGATTGATTGATTGATTGACACACAGGAATCATGGTTTCGTGGGAACCACTGGGTTGAGATCAAAAATATCATGCAGCCAATAATGGACCCAATCGTGCAATAAAAGCGTCACTTTCTTAATCACTATGGAATGTCTTTTAACTTTCAAGATCCTCCAAAGGGCAGGATCAGAGAAAAGCACTTGGTGATTCCATCATCTTCCTGGAACAAAGAAAGAAACGGCTGGCTGGGGAATTCTGGGAGTTGAAGTCCAGGCGTTTTAAGGGGATTTCCATCTTTGGAAAACATCAATTCAAAGGGAACGTTCCACACCCATCTTAGCTACAAAATCCTCCTCCCTCCAGAGAAAGGATTTTTTTAAAAAAAATAATATCTAATCCATGTACCAAAAACAAAATATAAGCAAGCCAGAGGCCTTCTATTGGCAACCCACCCCCACCCGAAATAAATAAGTCCTCAACTTCATTTAGCGACCCAGGTTACAATGGTACTGAAAAAAGTGAGTTATGACAGTTTCCCACACTTACCGTCGCATCCCCGCTGTGGTAACGTGACCAAAATTCAAACCGAGTCAGACCTTGTGACAAGCAACGCCAAAAGTTGTGGGTGCTCCCAACGCTGGAGGCATGGAAGAAGAGATTGGGCAACTGTTTCTTGGAAATGTTTCAGGATGTCCAGCTTGAGCAGGGGGCTAGACTAGAAGACCTCCTAGGTCCCTTCCAGCTCCATTATAATGGGGAAGCCAGATTCCCCGAACAACTGCAGGGATTCACTTAACAGTCGCGGCAAGAGAGGTTGTACGATGGGGCAAAGCTCTCGTCCCTGCCTCCCTTAGCATCAGAACCTTTGGGCTCCCTTGGGGTCGTAAGCTATAAGGGCCACCCATATCATGCACAGAAGGAAGCTAAAGTAAGGAAGGCTGGGCTGTATCTTTTTCTGTAGGAGTCGCTCAAGACGCTGGGATTCTAGGAATAAACTCTTCAGGGGGCTTCCCCACGGCCCATCATCCCCGCTACCAAAGGCTCTGCCCTTCCCGCCAGTATTTCGGGGAAAGGTAACAGGTAAAGGTTCCCCTTGCACATCTGTGCTAGTCGTTTCTGGCCCTCAGGGGCGATGCTCATCTCCATGACAAAAGCCGAAGAGCCAGCGCTGTCCGAAGACGTCTCCCTGGTCATGTGGCCGGCACGACTAAATGCCGAAGGTGCACAGAACACTCTTTGCTTCCCACCAAAGGGGCCCCTATTTTTCTACTTGCATTTTTTTTTACATGCTTTCGAACTGCTAGGTTGGCAGAAGCTGCTGGGACAAGGAACGGGAGCTCACTCCGTTAAGCGGCGCTAGGGATTCGAACCACCGGCCTTTCTGATCAACAAGCTCAGTGTCTTAGCCACTGAGCCACCATGCACCCCCCCCCCTTTTAATAACCAAAGGAAAGAAAGCCAGAGGTTTAAGCAGATGCTTAGCAAATAAATCAGGCTGCACATTTATTATCAAAAAGAATAGAAGGGGGAGGAAGCAAAGGAAACCAGAAGCTTGGAGAAGATAGTTTGTGTCCATCAAGGTTATGGTGCTGGAAGAGATGAGGGTTAGTTGAGCCAGAAACCCATTACTGGCTTGGAGTGAGAGACCCCGATTTAGTGCTCCAGTGGGCAGAGAGGTAGGTATCTCTGCAGGACGCCCTTTATCCTCTCCCTGATTAAGTCCTCTCTCCCCAAATACCGGGGCTGGCTTTTGGGGGAGGGGGGGCAGGAAAGAGGGACGCCCCCTCACTCCCCCATGTGTGTCCGCAAGTGATACTTGAGCGACTGCTTGTAGCGGAAGCATTTGGCGCACTCCGTACAAGGGTACGGCCGCTCACCCGTGTGCGCCCGCTGGTGCTCAAGCAGGTGATGCTTCTGGGTGAAATTCTTCCCGCACTCGGCACAGTGGTACGGCCGCTCGCCCGTGTGGATACGCTGGTGCTCGAGCAGATGGTGCTTGCGGATGAAACCCTTGCCGCACTCGCTGCAGGCATGGGGCCGCTCACGAGTGTGCACCCGGTAGTGGTTGGTCAGCTTCGACTTCTCGCTGAACGTCTTGTCGCACTGGCTGCACTTGTATGGCCGTTCACCCGTGTGAGTCCGCTGGTGTCGCAGCAGGTGGGACGGCCGACTGAAGGCCTTCCCACACTGAGGACAGATGAAGGAGAGCTCAGTTTTGCCGGTGTGCACCCGCTGGTGCATGGCCAATGAGATCTGCAGCCGGAAGCTTTTCCGGCACTCTCCGCACGAGTACGGGCGCTCGCCGACGTGTGTGATCTGGTGCTTACTCAAGCTCGACTTGTGGCTGAAGCTGCTGTCACACTCGCTACACTTGTAGGGTTTGCCAGGTGGCAGGGGCGGCTGAGGCTGTTGCTTGAAGTTACGCTTGTTAGGGTACGTCTGCCCGCGGCGGGGCGGAGGAGCTACCCCACGCCGTGCTGTGTGCAGCCGCTGGTGCAGGAGGTATTGCTGCTTGATGCGGAAGCTGAGGTCACAGGCGTGGCATTCATAGGGCCCCTCCTTGAGGTGGTTACGCTGATGGATTATATAGTTGATCCGCAGAATGAAGCTCTTGCCGCAGTCCGGACAGATGTACGGCCGCTCACGCGTCCGGTTTCGCTGCTGCAGTGTGACTGGCCGCGTTTCAACGCTATTGTCTCTCTCACAAAGCGGGGCACAGATCCCCACGGTGGGTCGGGGTGGCTTGGTCACCCTCTGCTCCTCCCGGAGAACCTCTACATTGCAAGCCAGCGAGCAGGGTGGCTCGGCGCGGGACGAAAACAACCCCCGGTTCTCCAAACTGACGGGGTCTTCCTCCTCCTCCTCCTCTTCCTCCTCCTCCTCCTCTTCTTCCTCCTCTTCTTCTTCCTCCTCCTCCTCTTCCTCTTCTTCCTCCTCCATTTTGATTACGATCCCGTCATCTTGCAAGAAAGACAGAAAAGCAAAGCAAAATCAGTGGGTTTCACGCAGCAGCATGCGGTGAAAAGAAAAACCGTTTATGGCTCAAAACCTCTCGCGATGGGCAGGGGGACAAATCGAGGCGGTTGCCATCCTCAGACAAAGAAACTGTAACACATTCCACAGTCTCTCGGGGCTTTTAAGCACTGGTAGTCCTCGACTTATGACCAAAGCATGCTGGATGGGGAATTCTGGGAGTTGAAGTCCACCTCTTTTAGGGCACACTGGAGAATGCTGGGAATTGAAGTCTACCCCTCTTGAAACACGACCCCTGGGGAGTTCTAGAAGTCTCTACTCACCCGCGCAGTTGCTGTGCTGCACAGTAACTCTCTTGATCTCGCCGAAGTTCACGTCGTACTCGCTTCCTTCCTCCAGGTTGTTGCTGGGGAAGTTTCCCAGTGGGGTGGCAGCGCTGTAGGGGCTGCCACAGGGAGCTTCGGGGTCCAGACCCTGGAAATCGCCCTCCGAACTGCCAGACATCTGATGTGGCTCCACGTCTCCGGGACATTCGTCAGAATGCGGCTCTTCCGTTTTGATCACGACCCTGATGCCGGCTGCAGGGAGGGTAAGGTCAGAAAAGCTTCGCTTCGACCGTCCCAGGTTACGAACGGCCCTGAACAAAGGGACGTAGGGCCCACTTGCACCCTTAGGGCCATTCTGCGGGTGTGGGGGATTCTGGGAGTTGGAGCCCGCCCACCCCTTAAAGAACGCCGGCTCAGAAATTCTGGGAGTTGAAGTTTAAGAGTGAAATGAGATTCGTCTCATTATGGATCCATCTCTGCCGGAGTTAAAGATAATTTCATTTAATGTCTTTGCGGATCTCTTCCCAAGGGAGGCCAGAACTCACCTGCTGTGGCATCAGGAAGTCTCCCCTGCTCCTCCGAGTCTCGACCGTCTCCATGACATGAGTCGCTCGCTCGCTCGGTCTGGGACAACACACCTGGCTTGGAAATGGCATAATCTGGGGGGGGAGGGGGAAGGCAGGGGTCAGCCCTTGGTTTTAGGGCCAGGTGACCAGACTCGGGTTCAAAATGCACCGGAGGGATCGGGTACGGGGAGAGGGTAGAAGCAGGGAAGCCTAAGGTGTGCTTGAGGAGAAATTAAAGGAAATGACACTGAGATGGGAGGGGGAAGGAAGGGAGGGAGGAAGGAAGGAAGGAAGGAAGGAAGGAAGGAAGGAAGGAAGGAAGGAAGGAAGGAAGGGGAAGAAAGAGAGAAAGAAAACAAAAAAAGGGAAAGAAGAAAAAGAAAAAAGGGAAAGAAAAGAAGAAAGGGAAAGAAAGGAGAAAGGGAAAGAAAAAAGAGGAGAGAGTAAGAAAGCAGAAAAAGGGGAAAGAAAGAATGAGAAAGAAAAAAGAAAGCAAAAGGAGAAAGGGAAAGAGGAAAAAGAAAGAAGAAAGGGAACCTAGTCTGCCCCCCTGGCCAACCAGAAGCCCCTCATAGAATGACAGGCTGGAAAGGAGTTTGGGGGGGGCCTCCAATCCAGCCCCCCCTGCTGGAGCAGAAGACAACCCCGGACCATTGGAGACGGGGGGGCTGTCCAGTCTCTTCTTCAACACCTCCAGGGATGAAGAACCCACAACTTCTGGTGGCAAGCAGGTTAATCCTCCTCACGGTGAGGAAGTTTCCTCCTTTATTCCCCGGGGGGGGGGGGAGAGGGGGGAACTGCAGCCCACCCAACCCTGGGGGACAAGCGGCGCCTCCCCCTTACCCAAAGAGACCAAGGACTGGTGGTTGCCCTTCATCAAGTTCTTGTAGAGTTCCTTCTGCCATTCTTCCAGTTTCTCCCATTCCTTCTCGTTGAAGTAGACCGACATGTCGTCGAAGGTCACCGGCACCTAGAACCACAAAGTGGGCACGCTCAGCATTGATCCCTGGCAGCCAAAACTAAACTACCTACCTACCTACCCACCTACTTCCTTCCATCCATCCATCCATCTTCTTTCTTCCTTTCACATCCATCCATCTTTCCTTTCTTCCACATCCATCCTCCTTCCATCTTCCTTCCTGCCATCCATCCATCTTCTTCCTTCTTTCCTTCCTTCCTTTCACATCCATCTTTCCTCCCTTCCACATTCATTTTCCTATCTTCATTCCTTCTTTCCTTCCTTTCACATCCATCCATCTTCTTCCTTTCCTTCCTTCCTTTCACATCCATTCATCCTTCTTTCCTTCCACATCCATCCATCTTCCTTCCTTCCACATCCATCTTCCTTCCATCTTTTCTTTCCTTCCTTTCACATCCATCCATCTTTCCTTCCTTCCACATCCATCCATCTTCTTCCTTCTTTCCTTCCTTCCTTTCACATCCATTCATCCTTCTTTCCTTCCACATCCATCCATCTTCTTTCCTTCCTTTCACATCCATCCATCTTTCCTTTCTTCTTTCCACATCCATCTATCTTCATTCCTTCTTTCCTTCCTTTCACATTCATCCATCTTTCCTTCCTCCCTTCCACATCCATCCATCTCCTTCCTTTCACATCCATCCATCTTCTTCTCTTCCATCCTTTTGGGAGGACGGCCTAGTCCCTGTGCGCCTGTGTGCACACACAGAAGCACCCAGATATTTGCAGCGACGCTCAGACGAGTGGATCCGTGAGCTCAGGCAAGTGCGGCCGTGCGCTCGTGCCGAGGAGCATGCGCTGCTTGCCTCCTCACGCGACTCAGTGGCGATTACAGGTCGGGGACCCCTGCATTAGTCCAACGCACACAAACACGCACCCAGGGGCAGCCCGGCTTCTTCCCGAAGCCAAGTCCTCGAGAGGACCAGGGCTGATTCTGGTGGGGTCAGTCACACATTCCGTGTGACCCTTCATCCCTACCTGAGGCCCTCTTATGTCTGGGAACTTCCAACATCTGGGGCCCTGGTTTGCTTCAGGGTGGTTTTACCCCAGACCGGGCAGAGGGAACCATGGTTTCGTAGGCTGCTAGGTTCCTAAATGTGTGATGGTGACTTTGCCCGTTTTTACAACCTGATTCCTGACGGGCCGCGGATGGGTGCTGGGCTGCAGACCGGTGAAGGGATGAGGACTGGCGCAGGGTTACAGATCGGGGCAGGGCTGTGGACAGGGGCAGGGACAACAGCCGATTCTTTTGTGGCCCACCGGCAGTTAGCAGAGCTGGCAGCAGAGTCAGACAATGAGGAGGTTGGGTAGGAACCTGGGCCGGTCCTGGAGCTCGGACGAGGGCTCTGCGTCAGAGGCAGAGATGGGGTCAGGGCAGGCTGGCAATTACCAGCTGCCTTCAGAGTCGGACAACAGTGAGGCGGGGGAGCAGCTGGAGCCTGTTCCCAGTGTGCGCATGCGCAGAGCTGCCAAAAGAAAAGAACAATTACAAACTAAGGGACGACGTGGGAGTAAAGCCACAGGTGGACGCTGTATGGCCCCTTCCGTAGGGATTGAAAGGGGAGCAAGAGGGGCTTTTGCAGGAAACAATTCGTTCGTTGCCGCAGTGTGAAGATCTGTCTGTGGATCTCAGAGACTGAGCCGAGTCCTTCCTTGTCAGCACTGCGTTTGGAAATAGTGACTTGGCAGCTCTCCCAGCTAGATAAGGTTTGTGCTCTGAATGACACCCTTGAAAGTCTGTTGGCCGGGCCTTTGGCGGAAGGCAAATGCAAGAAATTCGCCTTCGTTTAATAAAAGGGGTTTTGCCGGGACAAAGAGTCAGCTTAGAGCTTTTGGGGGAAGCCGCGGTCAGAACCGATTCAGGGATGAGGACCAATACCAGGCTGCAGGTGGGTGTCAGAAGGAGGACTGGTGCTTGGCTGTGGACTGACGTAAAGACGAAGACGGGGGGAGGGTTACGGATCGAGGCAGGGCTGTGGACCGGGTCACGGATGAGCACCGGTGCCAGGCCACGGACCAGTAATGGACTGCAGACCGGTGCCAAGGCTGCGGACGGGTGCAGGGATGAGGACTGGGGCAGGGCTATGGATTGGGACAGGGTTGTGGATCAGTGCAGGGCTGTGGACTGTTGTGCTCCAGCTCGGGAGTTGGAAACTCCCGATCTAATTCTCGCTGCGTTCGAGTCCCGGGAACGAAAAAAGCCCAAGAGCCGAACCTACTTTCGGCGTCTCGCCCTTGGAGCCCGGCGGGAAGCGCAATATCCAGAAGTTGCGGTTCTTCAAGAGGTTCTCCATGTTTTCCAAGCGGCGTTGCAGCAGGCCGTATTCCTGAATGAGGGTCCCCAGAGCAGCCCATTTACTCTCCAGCTGGCCGCCGATCTCCCCCGTCGTCTTCTCGCAATCCAGAACCTTCTTCTCCACCGTCCCGGTTCTGCCTTCCAGGTCCAGCAGGCGGCTGGTGTGTGAATCCACCTTCTTCTCCATGGCTTGGAAGGAAGCCACCAAGGTCAGGGCGATCTCGGCCGCCTGGTCCTCCCGGTCGAAGAGTTGGTCGGAGTCGGTGGGCGTCGGTGGAAGACGATGACGAGCGGGTGCTGCATCCCGTTGCGATGCCTGCTGGGGGACGATTGGAAAGGAGAGGACAAATTTAGGAGGATACTGCCAGTATGCCGCTGCTTGTGGCACCGCCATGCCTCCCGGGACTAGTCCTTGACTTATGACGCTTCGTTTAGTCGCTGCTCAAAATTACAACCACCCTCCCAAAAAGGGTTTTTTCACACTTACGACCGTCAAAATTGGGCAACCAGCTCATATTCACGAAGGCCACACAGTCCCGTGATCGCCTTTTGTGACCTTCTGATAAAGGAGGAGGCTGAACTGGTTTACCCACCACGTGACTCACTTAACGCCGGTTCAACAATTCACTTAATGACTACGGCAGAAAAGGTGGCAAAAATGGGGCAAAATGCCCTTTAGCAAATGTATCGCTTTTTGACCCCAGAAATTTTTTTGGGGGGGGCGGGAGGGCCTCGATTGTGGTCATAAGTCGCGGATTAGCTGCATTTGGAAATGAGAATCTTCCCAATTTTAATTTCATTATTAAATTTATTTGCCCTCCATTTCCCTGGAAACGAAGAGAGGTAATCCTTGACCTACAAACTGTTCACTTAATTACTTTAAAACCTGCATTCCTTTTCTTTCTTTCCTTCCTTTTTTCCTTTCTCCTTTCCTTCCCTTTCTTCCCTCATTAATTCATTACCTCCTTCTTCCCTCCCCATTCTTTTCCTTCCTTCCTTCACTTCTTCTTTCCTGCACTCTTTACTTCTTTTCCTTTCACTTCCCTTTCCTTTCCTTCCTTCCCTCCCTTTTCCATCCTTATTTTCCTTCCTTCTTCCCTCTCTTCCCTACCCATTTATTTTCCTTCCTTCCTTTCTTTTCCACCCTTCCTTCTTTCCAATTGATTCACTATTTCCTTCTTCCCTCCCTTCCGTTCCCCCTTTTATTTCCTCCCTCCCTTCTTCCCTTCCTATTCATTTCTTCCATCCTTCCTACTTTCCTTCCTTCCATCTTTCCTTCCTTCAATTCATTCACTATTTTCTTCTTCCCTCCCTTCCTTTCCTTCCCTTTCTATTTTTTTCCTTCCTTCCTTCCTTATTTCCTCCCTCCCTCCCTCCTTCCTTGCTCTCTGATGGTTCAAACCAGAAAGCTTCTAATTATATTATCGTCTTCCTTTTGACCAAATCAGGATTATTTTCAATCCAGGATATAAAACCACGGTTTTCAATCACAGTTAGTTATCCTGGCTTATTCCACAAAATGGTAGCCACCGTTAAACTACCAGGGGAACCTCGGATTAACCAGGTGCTTCTTCGGGGCAGCTGAAACGAAAAACAAGACTTAAGCCAACATGGATGGAAAAATCCCCTGGATCCAGGAGGAGGCAAAAGTTTGACAGCGACCACCACAACCTCGTAAAACCTGAGTCCATTTCCCAGTGTCTCAGTTTTGATCCCGTCGGGCCCTTGGGAAGCCACGGTCGTCAATCTTCAATGACACCTGTGAGTCATCCATGAATGACAGGCGTCTGAATTCCCCCCCCCCCCCCCCCCAGGTTTTTTGTTTGTTTGTTTTAAATTCCCTCCTCGGAAGGGAAGTCAATCAAAATGGCGCTGTTAAAGCGGCATTAAAGCAAATCAAGTTAAACGACCGTCATAAATACGAGTCGTGCGATGATCATTAAGCATGACATAAACGGTCCTCAGTTCCCCCCATTTTTTTTGGGGGGGGGGGTAAACGTTGTAACTGGGAAAACGGTCCCGGGAGGAATGGTCGTAAGGATGTGGTGATGTCATAACTTGGAACGGTCCCCGAATAAACCAACGCAGGCCGCCGAGAAATTTTTTTTTTTTCAATCAAGTTTTGATAGGTTTTTGATCAGCTTGCCGAATAAATTGGATAAATAGATATAAATACTTGTGACGTAACAATGGGGAAAGAAAACATAAGTTTCCATGATGGTACTGAAATTTGGCCTTTTTCTTTCCTTCCTTCCTTTTTTCCCTCCTTTTTTCCTTCCTTCCTTCCTTCTCTCTTTTCCTTTCTTCTTCCCTCCCTTCCCTTCATTTACTCCTTCCTTCCTCCCTTCATTCTTCCTTCCTTTCCTTCTACCCTACCTTTCCTTCCTTCTTCTCTCTTTCATTTCCTTCCTTCCTTTCCCCCTTCCTTCCTTTCTCTCCGGGTGATGGGCTCAAAATCTAGACGCTGGGCAACGGACTTGTATTTACACCGTGATTCCCTCACACGACTTTCTGAGGAGCAAAGTCGGATTCACTTAACAAGCATGTGACTACTAACAACACAGGCAATGAGTCACTTAACAACTGTGGTACGAAAAATCATAAACCGGGACCAAACTCCTTTAAACAAATGTTTCACTTTGCAGCATGAAGTTGGGGCTCAACTCAAGGACAGAACAGAATAAAGAACAGAATATGATTAGAATAGAATATAGAATAGATTTAGAAAATAATACAGAACAGAATATTAAAATAGAATATAGACTGGAATACAATGGAATAGGATAGAAATAGAATAAAATAGAAATAATAGAACAGAATAGGAATAGAGTAGAATACAAAATAGAAAGAATAGAACAGAATAGGAACAGAGTAGAATACAAAACAGAATAGTATTAGAACAAAACAGAATACAGAACAAAATGATTAGAATAGAGAATAGAACAGAACAGAATAGAATTAGAAAGAATAAAATACAACAGAACAGAATAGAATCAGAAATAGAATAAAATAAAAATAACAAACAGAAATACAAAGTGTAGAATACAGAATAGAAGAACAGAATACAACAGAATTCGAACAGAATGGAATACAGAACAGAGTATGATTAGAATAGAATAGAGAACACAACAGAATAGAAAGAGAACAGAATAGAAACAAAACAGAATAAGAATAGAATAGATTTAGAAAATAATACAGAATATGATTAGAATAGATTAGAATACAAAACAGAATAGAATTAGAACAGAATACAGAACAGAAAATGACTAGAATAGAATAGAGAATAGAAAGAATAGAACATAAACAGAAAGAACAGAATAGAATTAGAAATAGAATAAACTAGGAAGAACAGAACAGAATTATAAATTGAGTCTAATACAGAACAGCAGAATAGAATAGAATTTTGAACAGAACAGAATACAGAGCAGACTATGATTAGAATAAGAATAGAGAACAGAACAACAGCAATAGAATAGAATAACAGAATAAAATCCGAAACCTTAGAATGGAATAGAATTAGGAATAGAATAAAATAAAACAGAACAGGAATAGGAACAGAATGACAAAGTTGGAAGGGGCCGTCCAGTCTCCAAGCCAAGCCCCATAGAAGGGTGGCAGGCAGTAGGCCAGCTTCAAAGGTGGAGGGGCTCAAACCCCCATCCCAGAGACTGCCCAAGGACCTCACCCCATATTTATGGGGGTGAGGGTGGGGGGAGTTTCCCCTTAGGCCAAAGCCAGACTCTTGGGGATGGGGTGACAGTCCAGTCTCCAAGCCAAGCCCCATAAAAGTGTGGCAGGCTGTAGTCCAGCCTGGGGAAGCGGGGGGACTTCAAAAAGGGGGGTCCAACTCTGGCCCAAGGACCCCCCCTTTATATTTAGGGGTGGGGGTCCTTCAGCAAAAGCCCCCCCAACAGTCTCCCAGTTTCCGGGCAGGACGAAAAAAAAGCAGCAGTCCAGCTTTGGGCACTTTGCCCCAGCGGCAGGAGTGGCATCCCCCAGGCGGGAACAGCGCTCTTACCCCCCCCCCCCGCGCGACGGGGCGCAGCGCCGCACAACGAGGTTCAGCCGGGCGAGGAGGCGGGAGGGGGACGAAGGGAAGGAGGAGGGAGGAGAAAGCGCCGCGGGGTCCTGACGCCCGCCGGATGGCCTCTTTTTTTTTTTTTTTTTCCCTTCCCTGCCTCGGCCGGCCGCGCCTGCGCAGAACGAGCCCCGCCGCTGCTGCGTCAAAATCCCGGCCGTCGCTCTGAAGAGTTGAGCGCGGACTACGATCCGCCCTGACGGGCGGTTTTTTCCCCCACGCGCGGCCAATCTATGTTTATGTAGATGTTGGTTTTGTGTTCTTCGCCCAGGGGAAGCCGACCAAAAGGGAGCCGGGCGGCTGTAGAAATAGAATCAGAGAATCACCGCGTTGGAAGGGACCTCGGCGGTGATCCAGTCCAGCCCCCTGCTTGAATAGGACACCCTTACATAAAGTTTGAAG